TGATGCATAGCAACGAGAGGGGTGAGTGTAGTCCATGTACCCTCGTAGACCGAAAGCGGAAGCGTTAGAACAACGCGGTTGATGTAGTCGTACGTCTTCACGGCCCGACCGATCAAGCACCGAAACTACGGCACCTCCGAGTTCTAGCACACGTTTAGCTCGATGACGATCCCCGTACTCCGATCCAGCAGAATGTCGGGGAAGAGTTCCGTCCGCACGACGGCGTGGTGACGATCTTGATGTTCTACCGTCGCAGGGCTTCGCCTAAGCGCCGCTACAATATCATCAAGGAGGACTATGGTGGAGGGGGGCACCGCACACGGCTAAGAGATCAAGAGATCAATTGTTGTGTCTAGAGGTGCCCCCCTGCCCCGTATATAAAGGAGCAAGGGGGGAGGGGCGGCCGGCCTAGGAGGGGGCGCGCCAAGGGGAGTCCTACTCCCACCGGGAGTAGGACTCCCTCATTCCTTGTTGGAGTAGGAGAAGGTGGGAAAGAGGAGGGAGAGAGAGGAAGGAAAAGGGGGGGCGCCGCCCCCCTCTCCTTGTCCTATTCGGACTAGGGGGGAGGGGCGCGCGGCCCAGCCCTTGCCTCCTCTCCTCTTCTCCACTAAGGCCCGTGTAGGCCCATTAAGCCCCCGGGGGGTTCCGGTAACCGGGTACTTCGGTAAAATCCCGATTTCACCCGGAACACTTCCGACATCCAAATATAGGCTTCCAATATATTAATCTTCATGTCTCGACCATTTCGAGACTCCTCATCATGTCCGTAATCACATTCGGGACTCCGAACAAACTTCGGTACATCAAAACTCATAAACTCATGATATAACTGTCATCGAAACCTTAAGCGTGCGGACCCTACGGGTTCAAGAACTATGTAGACATGACTGAGAACCGTTTCCGGTCAATAACCAATAGCGGAACCTGGATGCTCATATTGGCTCCTACATATTCTACGAAGATCTTTATCGGTCAAACCGCATAACAACATACGTTGTTCCCTTTATCATCGATATGTTACTTGCCCGAGATTTGATCGTCGGTATCTCAATACCTAGTTCAATCTCGTTACTAGCAAATCTCTTTACTCGTTACATAATGCATCATTCCGTAACTAACTCATTAGCTACATTGCTTGCAAGGCTTATAGTGATGTGCATTACCGAGAGGGCCCAGAGATACCTCTCCGACAATCGGAGTGACAAAACCTAATCTCGAAATACGCCAACTTAACATGTACCTTTAGAGACACCTGTAGAACTCCTTTATAATCACCCAGTTACATTATGACGTTTGATAGCACACAAAGTGTTCCTCCGGTAAACGGGAGTTGCATAATCTCATAGTTGTAGGAACATGTATAAGTCATGAAGAAAGCAATAGCAACATACTAAATGATCAAGTGCTAAGCTAATGAAATGGGTCATGTCAATCTCATCATTGTCCTAATGATGTGATCCCGTTAATCAAATGACAACTCATGTCTATGGTTAGGAAACATAACCATCTTTGATTAATGAGCTAGTCAAGTAGAGGCATACTAGTGACTTTAAGTTTGTCTATGTATTCACACATGTATCATGTTTCCGGCTAATACAATTATAGCATGAATAATAAACATTTATCATGATATGAGGAAATATAAATAATAACTTTATTATTGCTTCTAGGGCATATTTCCTTCAGGGGCTGCCTCCAAGGTGATAAGCCGTGTGGGCGTCCCCTAGTAGCCAAATAATCTCCTTAATAATATATCTTACCTTCCACTTAATATTTTTTTTTGAACACACAGTACAAACGCAAGCGCTCGTATATACGTGCATACACTCATCCCTATGAACACACACACCCACACCCTACCCCTATGAGAGCCTCCGAGAGACTGAGCCGGCATATCATCTTGAGGTTTATGAAGTCACGGTAGGCACCTCGTCATCGATGGAAACATCTCCTTCCACTGAAAGCGCATCGCTGAAAATCCTGAAATAAATCCAAGAATAATGCGAGCACCAGGACTTGAACCTGGTGGGCAGAGGATACCATACAATTAGGTGAAGTCGGCCGTCATGATGTGCACCGTGCCCTATATGAAATACAAGAACTATGACCCCTAGGGCTGCCTCCAAGGTGATACGCCGCGTGGAGGTCCCCTACTAGCCAAATAATTTCCTTAATAATATAACTTACCTTCCACTTAATAGTTGTGGTACAATTCTTAGGTGCATGCGGTACAAGTGTATATAACTACTGCATGTTGAGTAAAGTATTGAACCCATTAGTCGTGAACTCGCATTCTCTGCTTCTCTGGCTAGTGTGAACGGCATATGTTGCTGCTTTGTTGCACCGCACATATCACATATGCGGCTCACGATTTGATTCGGCTGGCCCGTTGCACCATCAATTAACCACATTCGGCTGGTCGAGATCATGATGGAAGAATTATCTTATCAGCTTGGGATTATATACCGCGGTGCAATGAAGCGGACTGCGCGGAAGCCATGGCTTGCCTAGAAGGACTAAGGATGGCAATGTCGGGGACGAATCTACCCTTAATCATCGAGACGGATTGCAGCTCGGTGACAAAAGGCGCTTATCCTCTCGTCTATTGATAGATCGGAGGTTGCAACAATTGTAAAGGAGTTTCAAGCCATGAAAGGGAACAGAGAAGTAAAAGTTTGCAAAGTAGATAGAAGGGACAATAGGTTAGCTCATAGTCTTACCCAGTTGGGGCGTAGAGAGTTGCGTGGTGGGGTTATGCAAGGCTCTGTGCCAACCTGCGTGTTGAGTGAGGCCTTGCACGATTGTACGAACTATGTTTCTCTACTTAATTAATACAACTCTCTATTTCAAAAAAAAAATCAATTAGCCACTATTTATTTTACTATACGTCATCTCATAATATAAGGGCATTTTTGAAGTTAAAACAGTTTGAAAAACGTTGTTATATTATGAGACGAAGGGAATAGATAATTAGGTTTGTGGCTTGCCGAAGGCCACCCCTCATGTTCACTGGTTATCATGGGGCACATGGTTACATGGTTCGACCATGGGCAAGAATTTATTAGGATAGAAAAAAAGGTAGTCTTTCACGAGAAATTGTTACGATGCATTTGTCTTCCTCATGCATTAGCACCGTCGCAGAAAAATAAGCTTGAGCGTGGCTACAACAATCACGACAGAGACAAAACCCTTATTAGGTCAGGCTTTGGGCAAGCCTCGGACTGTTAGCATTGCTACAGTATCAAACGATGCCTGTGATGTTACAGTCCGCGAATAGATTCGACAGCATACTCCGGGTCATCGACCGGCCTGCCCGGGCCTGACTACGCCGTTGGGTCAAGGGCTCTCATCTATGCATTTCACCGGTACAAATGAAGAGAGAGAAATCAATTGATTATACACCAAAAATTGTTAGAATGTCCTAAAAAAATATCCTGTATGAGATTTTTATTGTATGGCTCATCTTTGTAGCAATATTTTCTTGTGAGAATTTATATAGCAGTAAAATCGTAATGTGATCGATTTATGTCAAAGACGATGTAGCGTGAAGACCTTCCATATGCAATCTAGTTGGAATTGAGAGTTTTGTCATGTACTACTCGACTTCATAAATCATAATGAAGAGGCAGAAGTTTAATGTCACTAGCCTCATTCTTATACATAAATTGATCAAGCTAGAAAGAGATATTTTCAAACTTCTCTGTTTATGTACACGCTTTCAAAAATGAAATAAAATTTGAGGGTACACGGTTCATTTCTGGCTCTGGCACTGTGTGAAACGTAACGGTGGCTACACAACGTAACAGTGAACTTGAAGATGCGCCCTCAGCCGTTGGATCCTCGTGCTCGGGCCCCGTTACCTGACGGTGTGAGGCTCCGAGCCTCCGACGACTCCCGCGCCGTCCGCCGCGCCCGCCTGCCTTCTCCCCGGCCGGCATCGAACGCCTCCAGCAGTCCCCTCGCCCGCCACACGCCACCTCCAGAGCCCGTGCGGCTCGGTGGCAACGCCACCACTGGCCGCCGCCTGCCCGCCGACGCCGCGCGAGCCTCGCCTAGATTTCCTCCGTCCGGATCTGCAGCCTGCGGCTCGCTGGATTTGCTCTCGTCCGCTGCCTCCTCCGCGGCGGCCCCAGCAAAAATTCGATGGGCAGGCCAACCCTCACTTCGACGGCGTGGAAGACGAGTGAGTGAGCAGTAGTTGCCGGTGAGTTCTGCCGTAGATTCCTAATTTTCCATGCTAAATTGGATGAAATACGCCAAAAAATTCCAGTTTTCAATGCTGTGTTGCCCCATTAAGATTCACTTATGAAGCATGTTAGGGCCACACGAAATTTCTCCCCAGTGTGGAGACTTGTTATCTTCTCTGAACTTCTTGAACCTGCTTAGCAGTTGTTTGTAGGTTGGGTAGGGTGACGCTGGGGACATGCTGGATGCTTCTCGTTAATGAAATCGGAGAGAACCCCCTCTTTTGATAAAAAAAAACACGAAATTGCAATGCAGAATCAGTTTGCTCTTTGAAAAAAATATCTAATCAGTTTGTCTATGTGGTCTTGGGTCGACGCTATCAAATCTCAAAACTTCAGTGGTCGTCAGTGGATTGGTTTGTCTTCGTGTCCGCAGGTTACAATCACGGTATGGGCATGAGCCAGGACTAGTCTTACAGCATCTTTGTGTCGCTGTCAAAATAATTGTCACTTTTGCTCTTGGAATTTATATTTTGCTTACTGCAATTCTACTAGTGACAGCACATTACTCAGCCTGCACACGTTTTCTTTCTCAAGTCTTTGTTTTATTCTTCTACTTTTCTTTACCCTTGCATCACATTCAGGTGAGATGACCTGTTTCAAGTCAAGTCAACTTGGTCGAGCTTAACTTCTGGCCCATTCATTCCAGCAGAAAAAATCTTCAAAATGGCCTCTACACACAAAGATCACAAAGATCAAGCTCCAGTCTAAACCACTCCAATTCCTTGGTTCTTCCACATCCTGTAAACTGGAATCATGCCCTCAATGTTTACTCTACTCTATATTTTACTCATCCTTTTCTCCGTCAGGACTACAATACTCGAAGCAGCACAAGCAAACAAGTCGGAGATTGATCGCCAGGCCCTCCTCTGCTTCAAGTCCGGCATCAGCTCTTATCCCCTTGGCATCCTTGACTCATGGAGTGACGACTCACTTAACTTTTGCGGCTGGAAAGGGGTCACTTGCCGCACAAAGTTTCCACCCCGGGTGGCCTCTCTTAACTTCAACTATGCTCGTCTCAGTGGGAAGTTATCTGGATGCCTGGGCAACTTGACATTTCTATCCAGGATGAACCTTGCCTATAATAATCTTTCGGGAACTATCCCTGAAGAGTTGGGTATGCTTCCAAACCTCCATACACTGAATCTTGCCGGCAGCTATCTTCAAGGTAACATCCCCATTTCCTTAGGCGCTAGCAATTCTCTTAGCTATGTATATCTTGCAAACAACACCCTTACCGGTGGTATTCCTCTCTCATTGACCGATTGCTCCTCACTCAGCACACTTATACTGTCACGTAATAACCTCTCAGGCAATGGCGGAGCTTCTCGGGGGCGAACCTGGGCGGTCGCCCCCCCAGCAAAAATGAAACTTTTTTAATACCCCATCATAGTAACGAGGCGGCACTGCACACACCAGCCCATAGGGCCCTTTTAACATCTCCGTACGGAGACAAACTAACTGCGATGTACAGCAGCCAGCGACCAACTCTGATTTCTCTCGTCTTTAGTCTTTCCTCTTGTCATCTTGTGTGGACTTGCGGACTGGGAATGGCTGGGTGCCTCCCCTTGATGCAACAAGTGCCACCAAGGAGCTACAAGGCCGACCGCGCTCCACTCTTCGACAATGCGAGCGGTCTGCGTAGAGGTAGAGGTGAGGCACTGATCAGTCATCAGTGATCGTGCCTGCGTGTGGGCTAGTGAGCAGCAAGCAGTGAGCTAGTGAGCAGCAAGCAAGCAAGAGCAGTCTGCCCACCCACTCCCCGCTGGAAATTTCTTCCTGGTATAGATTCTTGCATCTTAATTTGTTGGGGTAAGTTTTAAATAGGTCATATATTTTGTACTAATTCTTTTTGTTTACATAACGGGTAGTGATGGTTAAAGGAAACCATTGCTGCATTTTACAAAAGAAAGAGAGGTGAATGTAAAGCTAATGAACCGATATTAACTGGATCAGAACCCCTGTTCAACCTATTAAAAAAAAATCTATTCAACCTCCTCTATTATTGCAGATGTTCTTGCCATTTAAGAGCACAAAGAAACGAAGAGCTGATTTTTAGTGTGATTAACTCAATACTCCATGGTTAAATAATATTTTGGTATATTTTTTCCATTGACTAGCTTTTATAGATATAATGAACGTTTGAAATGCGATTAATGTACTTACCTAAGTTTCTCAATACTTTTCAATATCTTATTTGTCGTAGTGATACAGTTCCTTATTGAGGAAGAAAAAAAATGTTCGCCCCTCCTGAGATTTCTTTCAAGCTCCGCCACTGCTCTCAGGAGAGATCCCTTCTACTTTGTTTGATAATTCATCTAAGCTTGCTGTGGTTGATCTCCAGAAGAATTCTTTCACTGGTCTCATCCCACGTTTCCATAAGGTCACAGCACTCAAATTTCTTTGCCTGACAGAGAACTTCCTCTCTGGAAACATACCTCCTTCAATAGGAAATGTTTCTTCCCTCACTTCTATATTGCTCGGCCAAAATAAGCTATCAGGATTAATTCCAGAAACTATAGGTCACACTACAAAACTGCTTGAGCTTGACCTAAGTTTCAACAGTTTATCAGGTAATGTCCCGGTTTCCCTTTATAACATGTCATCACTCAAAAACTTTAGTGTTGGCAGCAATGGCCTTGTTGGACAGTTACCATCTTACATTGGTCACTCACTACCAACCCTCCAGTCCCTAATTATGGGAAGCAACAGGCTGGAGGGCTTGATCCCTACTTCACTAACCAACATGTCAAATCTTCAAATGCTTGATCTTTCAGACAACTCACTAAATGGCCGTGTTCCATCTCTTGGTTCTTTGGCAAACTTGAGCCAGTTAGTTTTGGGGAGCAACTTGCTAGAAGCACATGACTGATCATTTCTTACATCTCTAGCAAATTGCACCCAGCTTACAAAGTTTCAATGGCAGCTTACCTGCAGCAGTTGTTAATCTTTCCACGAGGCTGCAAGATTTGTCGCTTGGGTCAAACAAAATTTCAGGCTCCATACCTGTTGAAATTAGCAATCTTGTTAATCTCACTTCTCTTAGGATGGAAAGTAATTTTCTTTCTGGAAGCATACCTTCTACCATTGGAAAGCTGCAAAACCGATATGTCCTAAATCTATCAAAGAACAAATTATCAGGTCAGATCCCTCCCTCAGTCGGTGACATTACTCAACTGGGCAAGCTTTATCTTGATGATAACAACTTGAGTGGAAACATACCTGATAGTTTAGGTCAGTGCAAGGGACTTCTTGAACTAAACTTGTCTACTAACAGCCTTGATGGGTCAATACCAGTCAAACTTTTTGATCGCCCTCCACTTTCCTTGGGTGTGGACTTTTCGTACAACAAGCTCATAGGAGAAATACAATCAGAAGTTGGTAATTTGGCAAATCTTGCTCTTCTGAATGTTTCCAACAATATGTTGTTTGGAACGATTCCTGAAGCTCTTGGAAGCTATCTTACTTTATTGTTCTTGCGCATGGAGAAAAACATGCTTGAAGGGCAAATTCCTCAAAGTTTCAGGAAGTTGCGGTCCATCCAGCAGATTAATCTAGCTCGAAATATTTTATCTGGTTCAGTGCCAGAATTCTTTGGCGACCTCACTTTGTTGGACAAGCTGGATCTATCGTAGAACAACTTTGAAGGGCCAATTCCCTCTGGTGGATGCTTTAGGAACTCGAGTATGGTAGTTTTGGATGGCAATAGGATGTTGTGTGCAAGAGTCTCCATGCTAGGGCTTCCAATTTGTGATGACACCCAAACAAAGAACCATGTGCCCTTGCTAAGAATAATAATGATAATTACACCGTTAATTGCTGCTGTGTTATTGTTATATTTGGTTGTCACTGTTTGGAAAAGAAGGGCGCAGCTTACATTTCCAAGGTGTAATAAGATTCCTGGTGTGTTATGTAAAGTTGCCAACCGGAAGAAAAGAGAAGCAGTTGCCAACCAGAAGATAAGAGAAGTGGTTGCATGTTCTAACCACAAGGAGACTCTGAAGAAGATATCATATGGTGACATTCTGACAGCTACCAACTGGTTTTCTTCGGTCCATACTATCAGCTCAACCTGTACCGGATCAGTTTATGTCGGTAGGTTCAAGTCTGACAGGAGCCTAGTTGCTATCAAAGTATTCAACCTGAATGAGCCTGGTGGATATGGTAGTTACTTTACCGAGTGTGAGGTGCTACGAAGCACCCGCCACCGGAATATAATGCGGCCTATGACCCTATGCTCGACACTTGATTCAAAAAACCATGAGTTCAAAGCACTGGTCTTCAAGTTCATGGTTGATGGCAGCCTTGACAGATGGTTGCACTCTGAGCAGCACAATGTAATCCCAGACAGAGTGCTAAGCTTTGGCCAGAGGATATGCATAGCAACAGATGTCGCTTCTGCTCTGGATTATGTCCACAACCAACTGACGCCTCCTTTGATCCACTGTGATTTGAAGCCACACAATGTCCTTTTGGACGATAACATGACTGCACGGCTCAGTGACTTTGGCTCAGCAAAGTTTCTATTACCAGGCCAGGTTATTCGTAAAAGCCTGGTTGATGTCGGAGGGACTATTGGATACATAGCACCTGGTGAGTTTACTTTGTACGTATGTGTATTGTTTCACCTGTACAGCGCATTTTCCCTTCATGTATGTATGCATGGCTTATTGAGTATTTGAGTGCATTTGCAGAGTACGGGCTGGGCTGCAAGATCTCTGCAGGAGCTGACGTGTATAGTTTTGGAGTGCTTCTGCTAGAGTTGCTTACCGGAAAACGACCAACCGATGATATGTTCGTCGATGGGCTTACCCTTCCCATTTTCTCTGAATCCATGTTCCCTGACCTAGTTGCGGAGATGCTAGATCCTCATATGGCGCATGAGGAGCATCAAGGGTGTGTAGAAGCATGGATGCAGAGATATGTTGTCCCATTGGTTGCTCTTGGGCTGTCATGTACCGTCGAATCTCTGAAGGACAGACCTGGAATGAAAGATGTTTGTGCAAAACTTTCTGCTCTCAGAGACGACTTTCTGGAACGCCATCATGACGATTGACGAATATTTGACCTCTGTTAGAGCATGCTGATTTGTTATCGTTAAGAATGTAATTTTGCATATCGTACCCAATCTACTGAAAGTGCAAGTGCCCAATGTGATTTGAAGCTAGCGACAGTTGGCTACTGGAAGTGTCAACTATCCTTTGTTGCGGGTTTGCTGGTTGTTTTCATTTTGATCTTAAAGTGTATGTATGGCCAGTGGCGGAGCTTGAAAGAAATCTCAGGAGGGGCGAACATTTTTTTTCTTCCTCAATAAGGAACTGTATCACTACGACAAATAAGATATTGAAAAGTATTGAGAAACTTAGGTAAATACATTAATCGCATTTCAAACGTTCATTATATCTATAAAAGCTAGTCAATGGAAAAAATATACCAAAATATTATTTAACCATGGAGTATTGAGTTAATCACACTAAAAATCAGCTCTTCGTTTCTTTGTGCTCTTAAATGGCAAGAACATCTGCAATAATAGAGGAGGTTGAATAGATTTTTTTTTAATAGGTTGAACAGGGGTTCTGATCCAGTTAATATCGGTTCATTAGCTTTACATTCACCTCTCTTTCTTTTGTAAAATGCAGCAATGGTTTCCTTTAACCATCACTACCCGTTATGTAAACAAAAAGAATTAGTACAAAATATATGACCTATTTAAAACTTACCCCAACAAATTAAGATGCAAGAATCTATACCAGGAAGAAATTTCCAGCGGGGAGTGGGTGGGCAGACTGCTCTTGCTTGCTTGCTGCTCACTAGCTCACTGCTTGCTGCTCACTAGCCCACACGCAGGCACGATCACTGATGACTGATCAGTGCCTCACCTCTACCTCTACGCAGACCGCTCGCATTGTCGAAGAGTGGAGCGCGGTCGGCCTTGTAGCTCCTTGGTGGCACTTGTTGCATCAAGGGGAGGCACCCAGCCATTCCCAGTCCGCAAGTCCACACAAGATGACAAGAGGAAAGACTAAAGACGAGAGAAATCAGAGTTGGTCGCTGGCTGCTGTACATCGCAGTTAGTTTGTCTCCGTACGGAGATGTTAAAAGGGCCCTATGGGCTGGTGTGTGCAGTGCCGCCTCGTTACTATGATGGGGTATTAAAAAAGTTTCATTTTTGCTGGGGGGGCGACCGTCCAGGTTCGCCCCGAGAAGCTCCGCCATTGTGTATGGCGAAATTCCTTAGTAGCATAAACTGTACTAGGTATTTTTCTGTCGAATCTTACATCCGGTTTAAAATCGTAAATCCTTCTTTTGTCGATGCAAAAAAAAAAATATCCCTTCTTTTGGGGTTAACTATTGGCTGGATCTAGTTTTGGTCGTAAAGTCTGAAATGAGACGTAGTTGACACTCAACTTTTGAAACCAGTCAGATTTGGCCCCTTATAACATACAGTATAAAACACTAAAAATAGTGAAAACATAGAAAATATGGAAAATGGAAAGACGCTTTGGATAGGGAACATTTTATTCTAGAAATTATGAAATAAATATAAGTAAATGGAGATAAAATATTTGAAGAATGGAAAAGAACAGGAAATGTAAAAAGGAAGTTGAGTAAGCTTCGCCATCGACTGAAGAGCTGGGTAAGCTTCCAAACCTCCATACAATGAATCTTGCCAGCAATTTTTTTTAAATAGTAAATGGCAACAAAATTGATTTTTTTTGGCGAAAACCATAGTCTAGCGTAGCACTCATGTTTAAACTTTTGGAACAAAATGAGCCAAGTCGTATTATGAGCGAAAAAAAAGCTACAAAAACCATGAATAGTAGCTTTTATATAGTACTCCCTTCATTCCAAAATGCAGTGCATATTTTCGTTTATAAAAGTCAAACATGTCTACATGTTTGACCAAGTTTAAAGAAAAAATTATCAACATCCATAATACAAAATTTGTATCATTAGATTCATCATGAAGTGTAATTTTATATTCTATTTATTTAGTATTTTAGATGTTAATAATTGATTCTAGAAACTTGGTCAAACGTAAACATGTTTAACTTAAAAAAAATCAAAATATGCACTACATTATGGAATGAAGGGAATATTAATATTGCTACATTTTGCTCATAATACACATAACTCATTTTTGTTTCGAAACTTTAAACATGAGTACTATGCGTTAGACCATGTATGCTGCCAAAAAAAGTTTCAAATATATTAGACTATTTACAAGAAAATATATCAATTCCTCTTATTTCCTCCCATAACCCTAAGCGGTTAGGACAAACTCTCACCTCTAGGCCTCACCGGCGGGCTTGTGGATTCGCCTCCCCTTTACCTGCCGCCTCGGCTGCCGTTGACGGGGAGGGTAATCCTGGTGCTTCCGCTCCAGTTAGTAGTTTAGGTTAGGGTTCTTTAGTCCTTGCAGACGTGGCATTCGGGCTGTCGACGGTGCTTCTTCTTCAAGTTTGTCTTTCGAATTTTGATCCTCCTCGAGTTCATTTGGTCGTAGTCGACGGAGATCAAGTGTAGATTCATGTCGTCTCCTTGGGGCGATGAGGTTGGGATTTCTCCTCATGTGGTGATATTTGATGTTAGGTGTTTGAGATCTATGCAAAGTGTTCAACAACGACAACTATGGCTTCAAGACGCCGGTCCATAGTCCACGTACACGAAGACTTTCCGAATGTCATCAACAAAGCCAGGCCGGTTCTAATTCTGACGGCTGTAGTGGTTGTTCGGGAATATCAGAAGCTCGATGTAGTTTTTATTATAATTTGAGATATTTTGTTTTTCCGGTGAACTTTTATAGTAGATTTGATGTTTTCGTAGAAAATATTATAATCTAGTATGATCGATTTACTTCATATTTTTCATTTCTGGCTCTGGTAGTTGATGAAATGTTTCTTCAGGAAAAAAAAGATGTCCGAAATGTGACGGTAGCTACACAATGTAACAGTAATCTTGAATATGCTCTCTCAGCCGTTGGATCTTCGTGCTCGGACTCCGGTACCCATCTACCCGACGGTGTGATGCTTTGAGCCTTCGGCGACTCCCCCGCCGGCCGCCGCGCCCGCTTGCTTTCTCCCCGGCCGCCATCGAACGCCTCCAGCAGTTCCCTCCCTCGCCGCCTCGACGCGCGGCCGACGACCTCCCGAGCCCGTGCGGCTCGGTGACGACGCCACCAGTGGCCGTCGCCGCGCCAGCCTCGCCAAGGGTTTCTCCTTCCGGTCGCGCAGCGCGCGGCTCGACGGATTCGCTCTCGCCCACAGCTTCCTCCGCCTCGGTCCTCGGAGAGTCAAACCCCAGCAGCCATTTTCTTGGCAGGCTAGCCCTCGTTTCGGTGGCGCGTGGAAGATGGTCACAGCCCATAACTCAGCCTGCACACGTTTTTCTTGCAAAAGTCCTTGTTCCACTCTTCTACTTATGGCCGAAATCACTATTCTGACCTTTTCAATAATCTTTGCCACAAAATAAACTCGACATGAAAGTATTTCACGATCTGACCCTTTTAGCAACGCCACAGCCCGTGGCGTTTCATCTCCATATAGAAACGCCGAGATATCTCGCGTTTCAGTCCACATTCAAACGCCGAGCTAGCTAGCGTTTCCGTTCCACATGAAAACGCCAAGCATCTTGGCGTTGCTGCCCAAGCCGAAACGCCAAAGCTCATGGCGTTGCTAGCTAGCTACGGCGAGCAATGGCACGTACAAAAGGCATGAAGGGAGGGGCTGGGGAAGCTAGGAGGATAATGCAAACTTTTTCGTGGAGAAATCAGGAAAGATACGGCCGGCTGGCTAAAACCACAGCAAAAGCAACAAACACTAGTCACGTCGCTCACTAGCTCGTCCTCCTCCCCTGCACTGAGCTCAGCTCAGTCAGCGGTGGCAGGTAGATGCGCGACAGCTCAAGCGATGCAGGGAGCCGGCGAGACGGCCGAGCTCGCCGGGCAGATGTGTTCACGCGAGCGGCGAGCATGGTCGCACGGCGGCGCTGTCGACGAGGTCGAGACTGGTGACTCTGGCGACCATGTGCGCCGCCGTTTATTCCTTCTTCTCAACCTGTTCGAAGACGGCAGAGCGCGAGACCAAGAGCTCGGACCCCTTGCTCGTTCCGTGTCTCATGCTCCCACTGCACCCGGCGTGCACTTTGCTCCTACCAACAACCAGCTCAATGCACCGGAACCCTCTCCGCAGTACGAACCGGCCAGGCTAAGGACGGCGCACCACCATGCGGTTCCTGACGACACGACCTGATGTCTTGCACTTGGATTTGAGATGGCAACGGCGGCGGTGCTCAAGCGAGCGAACGGTCGGGACGCATCGGCGTCCCGGTGCGCGTTGGCATCCGCGAGCTCCTTCCTAAGACTAAGAGAGTTTCAGCTAGCAACGCCATAAGCTTTGGCGTCTCCATGTGGAGCGAAAACGCTAGCTAGCTCGGCGTTTGAATGTGGACTGAAACGTGAGATATCTCGGCGTTTCTTTATGGAGAAGAAACGCCACGGGCTGTGGCGTTGCTAAAAGGGTTAGATCGTGAAATACTTTCATGTCGAGTTCACTTTGTGGCAAAGATCGCTGAAAAGGTCAAAATAGTGATTTCGGCCTCTACTTATCCCTTGCATCACGTTTTCTTGCAAAAGTCTGAGTGAGACAACCGCCAATCCTGTACCAAATCAAGTCAACTTTGTCAAACATAGCTTCTGGCACACAAATCCTTTAAAAGACACAAGATCTTCCAGGCTCCAACCGAAGCAGCAAGCACTCCCAAGTTCTTGTAGTCCTCCACTTCCTGTAAACTCTAGATATCATGTTCTCAATCTTATCTCCACTCTCCATTTTGCTAACCTTCCCCTCTTCATCACCACACCAATAGCAGCAGCACAAGCAAACATATCTGAGATCGACCGCCAGGCCCTCCTTTGCTTCAAGTCCGGCATCAACTCTTATGCCTTTGGCACACTAGACTCATGGAGCAATGACTCACTAAAATTTTGCAGCTGGAGAGGGGTCAACTGCGGCACAACGTTTCCACCCCAGGTAATCTCTCTTAACCTCAGCTCTGTACAACTCAGTGGGCAATTATCTAGATGCCTAGGCAACTTGGCTCTTCTATCGTGGATGAACCTTGCCGATAATCATCTGTCGGAAACCATCCCTGAAGAGCTGGGTAAGCTTCCAAACCTCCGTACACTGAATCTTGCCGGCAACAGTCTTCAAGGTAACATCCCCATTTCCTTAGGCGCTACCGGTTCTCTTAGCTATGTCAATCTTGCAAACAACACGCTTACCGGTAGTATCCCTCTCTCATTGGCCGGTACCTCCACACTCAGCACACTTATACTGTCACGTAATAGCCTCTCTGGAGAGATCCCTTCTACTTTGTTTGATAACTCATCTGAGCTTACTGTGGTTGATCTCCAGATGAATTCTTTGACTGGAGCCATCCCACCTTTCCATGAAGCCACAACTCTCAGATTTCTTTGCCTGACAGGAAACTTCCTCTCTGGAAGCATACCTCCTTCATTAGGAAATGTTTGATCCCTCACTTCTATATTGCTCGGCCAAAATAGTTTATCGGGATTAATTCCAGAGACTTTGAGTCACCTTACAAAACTGCTTGAGCTTGATCTAAGTTTCAACTGTTTATCAGGGAGTGTCCCGTTGTCTCTTTACAACATGACATCACTCAAATACTTTAGCGTAGGCACCAATGCCCTTCTTGGACAGATACCATCTCACATTGGTTACTCACTACCAAACCTCCATTCCCTAATCCTGGGAAGCAACAAGCTGGAGGGCCTGATCCCTGCTTCACTAGCCAACATGTTAAATCTTCAAATACTTGATCTTTCAAACAACTCGTTACATGGCTCTATGCCATCTCTTGGTTCGTTGGCAAACTTGCGTCAGTTAGATTTAGGGAGGAACTTGCTAGAAGCACATGACTGGTCATTTCTCACATCTCTGGAAAGTTGCAGCCAGCTGACAAAATTGTCCTTGGAAGGGAATGCTCTGAATGGCAGCTTACCTATAGCAGTTGTTAATCTTTCCCCGACACTAGAAGATTTATCGCTTGCATCAAACCAAATTTCAGGCTCCATACCTGTTGAGATTAGCAATCTTGTTAATCTCACTTCACTTAGGATGGAAAGCAATTTTCTTTCGGGAAACATACCTTCTACCATTGGGAAGCTGCAATACCTATATATCATAAGTTATCAAACAACAAATTATCAGGTCTTATCCCTCCCTCGGTTGGTGACATTACTCAACTAGGCAAGCTTTATCTTAGTGATAACAAGTTGACAGGCAATATACCTGGTAGTTTAGGTCAGTGCAAGGGACTTCTTGAACTCAACTTGTCTCGAAACAACCTCAATGGGTCAATACCAGTCGAACTCTTTGTCAATCCTCCATTTTCCTTGGGTCTGGACTTCTCACACAACAATCTCACTGGGGAACTGCCATCGGAACTTGGTACACATGGTGTTGGTGATGGTCCAACATCCATTCACATGGAAGTAAACAAGTTTCATGGACAAATTCCAGCAAGATGGCAGTTAGCATCAACCCTACAGATTAATCTTTCTCACAATGACTTATCTGGTGCCGTGCCTGAATTATTTGGGTACCTTCCTAAGTTGGAGCAACTCGATCTATCTTACAACAACTTGGAAGGGGCTATTCCTACAAGTGGGATCTTTGAGAATTCTGCCGCAGTAGTTTTGGATGGAAACAAGGGACTCTGTTCGAATTCCTCGAGGCTAGCATTACCAATTTGTCCTGGCATCTCATCTTCAGCAACTAAAACAAAGCACCATATGTCCTTGCTGGCAACCTTGCTGCTAATTGTACTACCACCACTTACTATTGCTTCCCTAGTCTTGCTATGCTTTCTGCCCGCTCTTTGGAAGAGAGCAGTGTTCTTATTTTTCCAATTGGCGGTTGTGTCCAAGAAGATGTTTCATTTTGTTAGCCATCACAAGAGAAAAGAAGTGCATACAGTTCCGTGCAACGATGAGAAGAAGCTAAAGAGGGTGTCATATCAGGACATTCTTAAAGCTACCAACTGGTTTTCTTCGCTTCATACTATCAGCTCAACCTCTACTGGGTCAGTTTATGTTGGTAGGTTCAAGTTCGACAGGAGATTGGTTGCCATCAAAGTATTCAACGTGAGTGAACCTACCGGGAGTGATAGTTACTTTATTGAGTGTGAAGTGCTACGAAACACCCGCCATAGAAATATAATGTGTCCTGTGACCGTATGCTCGACATTTGATTCACAAAATCATGAGTTCAAAGCGCTGATATTCAAGTTCATGGTTAATGGCAGCCTTGACAGATGGTTACACTCTGAGCAACACAGTGGAATCCCAGGCAGAGGGCTAAACTTTGGGCAGAGGATATGCATAGCGGCAGATGTGGCTTCTGCTCTTGATTATGTCCACAACCAACTGACGCCTCCTTTGATCCATTTCGATTTGAAGCCGAGGAGTGTGGTTTTGTGTAGCTCGAGCTACGTGGTACCCCTTATCTTAGCCATCCATTTTTGCATAGTGATTCGTGCAGGCACATTTGTCATTTTTGTTTCTCTCAAACGAAACATCATATAAACTTCAAACTTTGCAGGACAACAAAACATTCTAATTACTATGTGGGAAAAAACTTTCAGATTTTTTCATGCAATTTAAATGCTAAAATTTATTTTTTTAATAAAAAAAATCCTCATTTTGTATATTTATGTTGGTCCAAAAAATCTGAAAGTTTTTTCCCACATAGTAATTAGAATGTTTGTTTGATCTGGAGAGTTTGAGGTCTATATGTTCTTTCATTTGAGAGAAACAAAAAAGAGAAATCTTCTTGCTGTAAGTTAGTTGAAGAGTATGGATCTCAAAGCAATGTTGGAGGGCTGAAGATAAGAGGTTTCATGTAGCCTGAGCTACAAAGGAACTTTACCTTTGAAGCCAGAGAATATCCTGTTGGACGATGACATGACTGCACGGCTCAGTGATTTCGGGTCAGCAAAGTTTTTGTCGAATATGTTTATTCCTAAAAGCCTGGATGATGTTGGAGGAACAGTTGGATACATGGCTCCCGGTGAGTTTTGCTTTTCCGTTTCAGCTTAATTATACTTTGTCTTTTACGTATGTGAATTATTCTAAAGCATTGGTTCTTTGCAGAGTACGGGTTAGGTTACGAGATCACCGTAGGAGTTGATGCATATAGTTTTGGAGTGCTTCTGCTGGAGTTGCTTACCGGAAAAAGACCAACCGATGATATGTTTGTTGATGGACTTACCCTTCCCAGTTTCTCTGAATCCATGTTTCCTGAAAGAGTCGCGGAGATTCTGGATCCTCGTCATCAAGGGTGTGCAGAAATATGGACGCAGACATATATTGTACCCCTGGTTGCTCTTGGGCTGGCATGTACTGTGGAATCTCCAAAGGACAGACCTGGAATGAAAGATGTTTGTGCAAAACTTTCTGCTATAAGAGATGCTTTTCTGGAACACCGTGATGACGATTGATGAATATTTCTGCTCTGTTAGAGCGCGCTGATTCTTTATATATATTATTAAGAATGTAGTAACAGGTAAAGTTCATTTCATAGTACCCTGTCTATTTACAAACTGGAAGAAACTTTGAGGCTTGAGCACATAGATATAATTTGCAGTGGCAATAATTGGCTACAAAAAGTATCAACTGTTCTTTGTTGTATATTTACTGAATTATTTTTATTTTGACCTTGAGCTGTGTGTATGGCGAAATTCGTGTACTCCCTCTGTAAACTAACACAACAACATTTAGATCACTACTTTAGTGATCTAAACATTCTTATATTAGTTTATGGAGGGAGTACTAGTTAATTTTGTAAAGGGTACTGTATATATGAATGCGTTTTCCTCCCATAAAATCTTATGCCCAGCTTAATAAAGCAAAGCATTATTTTTTGGTTAATTTTTTGGTCCATGATAAAATAAGACAAAGTTGACACTCAGTCTTCAAAACCAGATAAATTTGGCCCCTTGCCTATACGTGCCTCAAAGAGGTATGACTGATGGAGTGTTACTGTATTAATAATGAAACCGAAAGCTGTAAAAGAAGAGTAAATTAGGAATTATGGGGAAAAGGAAAATGTGTTTTGAAAAGGGAACATCCATTTCAGAAATCATGAAAGATTAAAAAAATGTGACAAAATATTTGAAAAAACGGAAAGAAAGGGAAACAAAGAAAGGACGGACTGAAAAGAAACAAATATGGGATCTTTTACCAAATTCTTTCTGAGTTGAATGTATATAAACACGTTTTAGTGCGTTTGTTCACTCATTTTAGTCCGTATGTTGGGTAAAACTGTGTCTACCATATCTTGCCGCAAAACTTGTTTAGGCTCGCTAAGCTTTTAAGGGTTTAAAATTTATCAAAAGATAGGAAATAAATAGTGAAGCATCTCTCTAATATATAAAATAATCCAACGAAGGGATTGTGAAAATATGCATTTATGTGCCTCAGGCAAAAAAGAAAAAAACATTTCAGCTCACTGTGACCTAAATATATACGGAACTACTTGTTTTCTTTGTCTAGAGCACATAAAGTTTGTACTCCCTCTTTCTCGCAAAAAAAAAGGGTTGTACTCCCTCCGTTTTTATTTACTTAGTGTATTAGCTTTGGTCAAAGTCAAACTTCATGAACTTTGACAAAGTTTATAGATAGAAATATTAACATATACAATAACAAATCAATACCATTAGTTTCATTATTGAATGCACTTTCACATTATTGAATTTTTTGAATTTTTCTAGTATTTTTTTTGAATTTTTTGCTGACCGGGAGCAGCTGAGCCCGGGCTCCAGGGTGAATTATCGCTTTACCCCTCCCTTCTAAAAACAAGTCATCCCTCTCTACTGGAGCTGAGAGAAAAATTGTTGTCTGACAACTTTTGATAAATTAGTAAATGTGCACGTGCAACGCACGTGTAATTTTAATTCGGCTTGAAGATATACCTGAATTTTCTTTTAAAAAGCAGCATCAAAATAAATAGTTTGTGTAAGCACCACCAACGGCAGATCCATCTCTTCCTTCAAATGGGTTGAAAATTGTACTAACCCAACGTAGTCAATGGCATATGCAAGTGACCAGGGGAGGGGGCACATACCTTGTCCTCACGCCGCTAAAAGAGAAATCCAACAATCTAAGCACAATCCATTGAAATCAGCACAACTGATCCACTACCCAGCTGCTATCAAAAGTTCCATATCATTGTGTAACCTAGTTGTTTCATAGCGCATATTGGTAATGAAGCTTAATAACTGTTGAATGTGTGCACATAAGGCTGCTTTTGGTTTAGTTTTACGAAGCTTGATTTGGGTTCAGTTTTTAGTGCATACAGGCTGCTTTTCTGCTCAGTGAAACATGAATTAATCTTCTCCGGAAGAAATGAAGAAAGTAGAGATGAAAGACCTCTGGCCCGGCGGCTGCGTGTTTGACGGCGGCATCCCCTGATGGCGGCACTGATGACCTAGGCCCAACGGAGAGGGACGAGCAGGTGGTCCAGGCAGTGCCCATGATGGTCCGACAGCCCGACACCAAAGGATGGCCGTGCGACGTCCCTGACAGGTCCAACGGCGATGGGCAGTCCAGGCGGCGCCTCCGACACGCCCTCGCCGGTCGGCCAGGTGGTGTAGGCGGCGTCCCCGACAGCCGGCATCCTTGAAGTTGCAGCGGCGTCACTACGGCCGAGGCCGGGAAAGGCGATGGGTAGAGGCGGCACAGAGATGTGAGGGGCGGCGTCCTTGAAGTTGTTGCGGGTCGAGGCGATGGGGGCGGTGTGCGTCACTGAAGCGAGGTGATGGGGCGGCGCCTTGGGGCAGTTCGCTGTGGCAGTTTCCTTTCGTGTGAAAGGGTACGTAAGGAAAAGGATCGCATGAAGGTTCGCTGTGGCAGTTTCCTTTTGTGTGAAAGGGTACGTAAGGAAGGGGATCGCACGACGGATCGCTATGGCTGTTTCATTTCATGTGAAAGGGTATGTAAGAAAGGGGGTCGGGGAGAGAAAGGATTGATTAGCAATAAACGCATTTAGCGCTAAATGTGTTTAGTTGCTCACCATTAGGACAATAAGGACTGTCGGATTAACGCTAATGGATGACCGAGATCTGTTGGATCTGCCCCACTGGGTCTTTTTATATTGGTATAGATATAGATTATACGGTCATTCCGTAAAACCATTTTTACTGGAATTGCTTGAAGTCTGATGCTATTCATGAAAATGACCACTTTACCCCTACTCCTCTCCATTGTTCCTACCAAATCCTCTCCTCTATCTCAGTCACTCGGGGAAACTCCCATTTCTCTCCCCACCCCAATCCAGTGGCCCTCAACGACGCGAGCGCCGGCCGCAATCTCCCGCCGCCGCCGCAGGCGAGGCGGGACAGGGCCGGCCGAGGTGGCACCACGGCAGATGCAGTGCGAGGAACAGCGTCTTGAGCCCCGGCCGGCCGGACATCGGCGTCTCCAAGACCAAGGGCCACATCCTCGGCATGTTCCCCTACCCCAGGTATACTGTACCTGCATCTGTCATTCTCTCTCTCCACACCAAATTTGTGCTCGAATTCGTTCGAGTTGATTGCGACTCTGCGGTTCTCGGGTACGTGATACTGCAATTTGTGGTCGTCCTGTTACTGTTAGGATGCTGGGAGATGGTGCACACAATTCAGTATACTTCAGTATTCAATCCGGTATTATCATGTGGAGAGGAATGTTTGGAACATTTCATTTCTTTTGAATCTATCAGCTGGTTCGTGTGGAGGAAGTTCGATCATGGGGATAGCTGGATACTGACTTTAAAATGTTGTGGATCAATAATTGATTTTCCTGCAGCACGACAAAGATGGACGGACAAGTCTTCGGCTTGCCCTGCTTCTTGTCCTTGATGGCTGAATTGGCACTTTGGAGGGTCAACTACGTTGCACAATAATAGGGCACTTCCTGAACCGTACTGGAATCCAGAAAATTGGTTTCAAGAAACTGTAAAATACACCGTCTACAACTACAAATATTTATTATTTGTTACTTGACGGTGGCAAATAAATGATGGTAAGTGAGTAGCCAACATGTCCCCTTTTGTACTGTTCAGTTCACTGAGTACTTCCATGATTGGGTGGATTTGGGGGTACAGAAGCTGTAGGTTGTATAACAAGCAGGAATTGTACTTGCACTTTGATAGACTCAGTGGTATATGCACACGTTTTCTTTACCCACATAAACCTCTCACATATTCCTTTTGTGCCCAGGCTATTTTTCAATCATGGGGGGGCGTGATCTAGAAGCAAGCTAACCAAGACGGCACTGAAGTCAAAGTCAAGTACAAGTGTCAGCTCCCCTACCCTTACTTCCACATATATCTAAGCACGCACACACAAATATTTTAATAAACACACTCCATTAGGACAAGAAGAGAGACATGGCTCCTCAAGTTTTTCGCACCCAATCTCTGGTTCCTCCGTTGCACCATGAACTCTTTCTTCTCTACACCATCCTCATATTTCTGTCCTCCAACACAATAGTATTCACATCAGCACAAGCTAGCAACAGATCTGAGAGTGACCGGCAAGCCCTTCTCTGCTTCAAATCTGGCATCTCCAAGGGATCTGCCCGTGTTCTTGGATCATGGCGCAATGACTCGCTCAACTTCTGCGGCTGGCGAGGGGTCACCTGCAGCACCACCCTCCCAATCCGCGTCGTGTCCCTCCAACTCAGGTCTACGCTGCTCACAGGAACACTATGCAGTTGCATGGCAGCCCTTAATTCTCTAGTTCAGTTGGACCTTTGGAACAATAAGTTATCTGGAAGCGTACCTGAAGAGATAGGTGAGCTTCGGAGCCTCCAAACCCTGATGCTTGCTGGCAACAGGCTTTCAGGTAACATCCCTCTGTCATTAGGTACAGCTGCATCTCTTAGATCTGTCAACCTTGCAAACAATTCTCTTAGCGGAGCTATTCCTGATTCCTTAGCAAATAGTTCGTCACTTAGTGAGATAATCCTCTCACGTAATAACTTATCTGGGGGGATCCCAGCCAATTTGTTCAACTCATCCAAACTTGCTGCTGTTGACCTCCGGTCGAATGCTCTCTCTGGGGCTATCCCACATTTCCAAAAGACGTCAGCTCTGCAGTTTCTCGATCTTACAGGGAATTCACTTTCTGGCACCATACCAGCATCTTTAGGAAATGCCTCATCCTTGCGTTCACTCCTGCTAGCACAGAACAAGTTAGCAGGATCAATTCCGGAAACTATCGGTCAAATTCCAAATCTAAAAAGGGTAGATCTAAGTAATAACATGTTCTCGGGGTATGTCCCAGCTACCTTGTACAATGTGTCATCACTCACATTCTTTAGCCTAGGCAGCAACAAATTTACTGGACAGCTACCTTATGACATTGGCCACTCACTTCCAAACCTCGAAACATTAGCAATGGGACTCAACAAATTTCGTGGATCAGTCCCGGATTCCCTGACCAACATGTCAAAGCTCCAAGTGCTTGATATTTCAAGCAACTTGCTTACTGGCGTAGTGCCATCTCTAGGATCCTTGGCAAACTTGAGTCAACTGCTTCTAGGAGATAATAAACTCGAAGCTGATGACTGGGCCTTCCTTACCTCTCTGACCAATTGCACTCAGTTGTTAATATTATCAATGGATGGAAATATCCTGAATGGAAGTTTGCCAAAAGCAGTAGGCAAACTTTCAACAAAGCTTCAGCGGTTAAGCTTTGGAAGAAACCAAATTTCTGGAAACATACCAGCTGAGATAGGGAAGCTTGTAAGTCTCGCTCTGCTTGACATGGGCCGGAACATGCTCTCAGGACCAATTCCCCTGACAGTTTGGAACTTGAGCAATTTGGTTGTCCTAAAACTTTCCATGAATAGGTTGTCAGGTCAGATTCCATCAACAGTGGGTAATCTTGTTCAACTCAGCCAGCTTCATCTTGATGATAATGAATTGTCTGGAAACATACCAGAAAATATAGGACAATGCAAAAGGCTGCTTATGCTAAACATGTCAGTTAACCACCTTAATGGATCCATACCAAGAGAACTCTTCAGTATTTCCTCCCTTTCATTGGGCTTGGACTTGTCAAACAACAACCTGACTGGGCCAATACCATGGGAAGTTAGTAACCTGATCAATCTTGGTCTCCTTGATGTTTCCAACAACAGATTATCTGGTAGCCTTCCTTCTGAACTTGGCCTGTGTGTTCAACTGCTATCCCTTCAGATCAGAAGCAACATGCTTAACGGGAGTATTCCCGAGTCTTTCAGCAAACTGAAGGTCATACAGCAGATAGATCTGTCCGAGAACAATTTAACTGGTCAAGTTCCACAGTATTTTGTGAACTTCAGCAGCTTAAATTATATTAATATATCATACAATAAATTTGAAGGGCCAATCCCGACTGGTGGCATATTTCGAAATTCAGCTGCAGTATTCCTGCAAGGCAACACAGGCTTATGTGAAACAGCTGCTGCCATATTTGGATTGCCCATTTGCCCAACCTCCTCAGCAACAAGAAGGAAGATCAACGCACGCCTGCTGCTGATAATAGCTCCACCAATTACTATTGCCGTGATCTCATTATTATGTGTTGTTGTCACTATTACGAAGGGAACTAAAGCTCAACCATCTGAAAGCTTCAAGGAGACAATGAGGAGGGTGTCATATGGAGACATCCTTAAAGCCACCAATTGGTTTTCTCTGGTCAACCGGATCAGTTCAAGTCATACAGCATCCGTCTACATTGGCCGGTTTGAGTTCGAGACAGACCTAGTGGCCATCAAGGTATTCCATCTCAGTGAGCAAGGTTCAAGAAATAGCTTTTTCACTGAGTGCGAAGTGCTAAAACACACTCGCCACCGCAATTTGGTTCAAGCTATCACTCTGTGCTCAACGGTAGATTTTGAGGGTGAAGAATTAAAGGCCATAGTATATGAGTTCATGGCAAACGGTAGCCTGGACATGTGGATACACCCAAGGGTGGGTAGCTCAAGGAGGCTGCTGAGCTTGGGCCAGCGGATAAGTATTGCTGCTGATGTGGCTTCTGCTCTGGACTATATGCACAACCAGCTGACACCTCCTTTGATCCACTGCGATTTGAAGCCTGGCAATGTTCTGCTGGACTACGACATGACCTCACGCATCGGTGACTTCGGGTCCACCAAGTTTCTCTCTTCAAGTAGTGGCGGACCAGAAGGCTTGATTGGCGTCGGAGGAACGATTGGATATATTGCACCTGGTAAGTTAAAAAAAAAATCTTTGAAATGACTTTCGATCTCAACTCTGGTCTCACTTTGTTTTTATAGTTATCCAAGTATTTATGTCCACTGCTCCGGTTTTACAGAATACGGGATGGGATGCAAAATCTCAACAGCTGGTGATGTGTATGGTTTCGGGGTGCTGCTACTGGAGATGCTCACGGCGAGGCGACCGACGGACGCGCTATGTGGTAACGCTCTCAGCCTTCACAAGTATGTTGACCTAGCTTTCCCCGACAGAATTGCTGAGGTTCTAGATCCCCATATGCCATCTGAGGAGGACGAGGCGGCTGCATCTCTACGTGTTCAGAAGTACATTATACCTCTGGTCAGCATTGGCCTGATGTGTACCATGGAATCGCCGAAAGATAGACCAGGAATGCATGATGTCTGTGCTAAAATTGTTGCCATAAAAGAGGCATTTGTTGAGACCTTGTGATCATGGCAACTAATGGGTTGGGCAGTAGCTGTTAAAGATTATGTATACATAATTACATATTCAGAAGTACAGTACAGTTACTACACTACTGTGATGCTTATATACAAAATTACAGTAGCTGTACCACTTATAGAACAATCCCATCATTTTTTTTGTATGTATCTGCCTATCTGGTAAATATGTGCCACTATGCCATGGGCCCGCAAAAATAAGCGGCGTAAATCTTTCTCTTTTTATCTAAGATTGAAGTGATATTTTCTAGCATTTGGGAGGGAGCGCCGAAGCTCTTTTAGAACTTTGTTTCACTGAAACAACATAGGTGTGATATTTTGAAATGCTATTAGTTACTGTACATATTTCTGAGAGAAGTGTCGTTGATTTGATTCCTTTTTGGAGCCATGAATTCAAATACTGAAGGACACTCAACTTTCAAACCAGATAAATTTGGCCCCTTGCCTGACTCAAAACAATTTGATGGATGAAGCAATAAAGAATGGATAAAATTAGGCAACACGTAAAAGGGAAATGTGTTCAAAAGGGATTATTTATCTCAAAGAACAATGAAACGTTTATGTAGAACCAAGAAACATGATGTTTTTCATGAATGTTCATACAAGATTTCTGAAGTTCCGTAAAAGGTTGAAAGCAATAAACATAGAGAAAATCAGGAAATTTCAAGGAAAACATGTTTTGAAATGAGAAATATTATATCAGCTCTGTTAGAACATGTCGATACGGTATTCAAGTAAAAAAAAAATTTGTAACTAGTAGAGTGCATCTTGTATTTTATTTATGGGATAAGTATATTTTTCGTCCTCGAACTCTTCCGAGAGTTTACAAATCGTCCCTCAACTCAAAACCAGATAGTTTTCATCCCTCAACTATCAAAACCAGATAATTTTCGTCCCTCACGCTGCTTCGGGCGGTTTTCGTCTGCATGAACAGTAAATATGCACGCACCTTGCACGCCCAAGCATCTTTGATGCCAAAAAAATTCACATTTTTTTGCTATTTTTTTATTTACTGTTCACTGTTGTACATATTTACAAATTTTTCTTTGTCATGAGCACTTGGAATGTCCAAACAATATGAAAATTTGTACGCACCTTGCGCACCCGAGGAACTTTGATCCCACTATTTTTCAGTTTTTTTGCTATTTTTTCGAATTTACTGTTCATCGGTTTACTGTTCACAACGGACGAAAACTGTCCAAAGCGGCGCGAGGGACGAAAACTATCCGGTTTTGATAGTTGAAGGTCGAAAACTACCCGGTTTTGAGTTGAGGGATGATTTCTAAACTCTCGGAAGACTTCGAGGACGAAAAATATACTTATCCCTATTTGACAAACTATATGTAACTTTGAGCACATTGAAAATATCAACCATGCTTTGTTGACGTTTATTTTATTTTTGATATGGACGTGTATGCATAGCGAGATTCTTGCATACTAATTAAGAGGGTGCTTGGATTCAAGGGACTTATTTTAGTCTGACTAAAAATAGTCTATTTAAGAGGCTAAAGTTCCAAGCACCCCTAACTAAAGAGGGGCTAAAACTAGTCTTGAGACTAAAATATTTAGTCTGGGGTACCCCTACTAGAATGTGGATTAGTCCTCTTTCTCCTCATTTAACTCCTCTTTTTTTAACACAGGCGAGTTTTGGATTGGAGGGTTTGGAGGATACTAAATGCTCGTTAACTTAATTTTAGTCTCTTTAGTATTTGGATCTAAGCATGGGTGAGGCTAGCAAGTTTTAGTCCCACTACTTTTAGTCATGAGACTAAAACGTATCCAAGCACCCAGTAATTTGCAAAGGTAACTGTATACATAAAGGTGTTTTTCCCAGGAAATCTACTCCCTCCGTTCCTAAATATTTGTCTTTTTAGAGATTTCAAATGGATTACCACATACATATGTATATAGACATATTTTAAAGTGTAGATTCACTCATTTTGCTCCGTGTGTAGTCACTTGTTGAAATATCTAGAAAGACAAAAATTCAGGAACGGAGGGACTATATCTATATCTATACCTACCTAATAATAAAGAGGCTATTGCTTTTGGCGGTACGTCATTAAAATTGTCTCCAAAATATTAACCACCAATGTCATCTATAAGTGACAAAAAACATTTTACAGGGAATCCCACACCTGGGCCGGCCCAAGCATCAGGACCTACTACAATGAGCTCGGCGCGCTGGAGAAACACAGCGCGCTAGTTTGAGCCGGCCCATGTGCGGGCGCCTGTATTTTATTTTTGTTATTCTGTTCCGTTTTGTTTTTTCTACTTTAAATAAATTTGAACTTAAAAAGCTTTTGACATTTAAATAAACTGAGAATTTTGAAATAAAACTTTCAAGAAAACATAAAATGTTTGTGAATTCAAAAAATGCTCAATATTTTCTAAAAATGTTCGCATATTCAAAAAATGTTTGTAAAAGAAAAAAGTCCAGAAATTTTGAAAAAAATGTCCATGTATTATTTTTTAATGAAATTGAAGAATGTGTTTGCTAATTCAAAAAATGTTTGTAAAATAAAAAAGTTCATAATTTTGAAAAAAGGTCCATGTATTATTTTTTAATGAAATTGAAGAATGTGTTTTCTAATTCAAAAAATGTTCATGAATTTTTAAAAATGTCCTAAATTTTGAAAACAGTTCATGAATTACGAGATAATTTATTGATTCAGAAAATGTTGATGCATTTCAAAAAAAATTTGTGAATTTAAAAAAATCCACCAACTTCGGAAAAAAGTTTGTCTATTCTATAATGTTTTGCTGCTTCAAAAGAAAATGCTTAAAAACCGTTCACAATATAAAAAAAGCACATTTTAAAAGAATTGTTTGTAAATATTAAAAAAATTCGCGATTTTAAAAATGTTGCCAAATTTTTAGAAATGTTCAGGAATGATCGAAGTTATGTAGTTAAACAGTAATGCTTCTGAGTCTTTGTGACTATATACCCGCGTGAATTTCAAAGAATTAACTGCTGGGGTGGATAGAAATATTATAGTATATTTTTGAAAAAAGGTTCTTGAAATTCAGAATAATTCTTTGAATTACCAAGTTTTTTTGTCAACCACGATATTTTAAAAAAATGTGAACATTGCTTCCATTTGTGAATAAAGTTTTAAAAAGAAACATTTTCTTGCATTTGTGAACAAATTTTCAAAATCATGCGATGAGATGTGAACAAAATGTGGTCATTGCCATTGAAGATTATGATTATTTTTTCTCCCATTGCAACGTACGGGCCCTTTTGCTAGTAAGTCAATAACATGTTTAGTTTATTTACTAATTAACCTCCCACATTTGTTGTCAATTGTTATTTTAAGCACCTCTTAGCAGCTTGATGGCTAATCTTTTAAGGAGGTGTATTAATGGTGCATCTTGCATTACTAGACCATTTCTATTTCTAATGGACGAATTGGTTGAATAGTCCCATCACTTTCATCTGGTTTTTTTGTTTTTTTTTGTCTGGTTTTTTTCGCCTTACCTCCCACCATCCCCTTCCCACTATCTTTTTATTCCCAGCTACCGAAATCCGAACGGATCAGAACTTTTCATGTTGACACACATTATTTAGTAATGTCTTTATGGGAGAGAATCAATCACGGTTAATCTCTAAATAATTTGGTTAAGATCCCTAATCCCATTTTCCCTATTCCCCAGCCGCTGCACGTCTCCCTCCACATCTAAGGATGGCAATTTTATCCATGGACATGGATACCCATGGATATCCGACCCGTATGGACAGGGTTTGGATATGCTTTTGCGCCCATGGGCAGCGCCCAAACCCGACCCGATTACTCATGGATAGGGTATGGACATAATCTTGTACCCATGGATATACCCAAACCCGACCCGATAGTCTGACTTAATGGGTAATATTCTACTATCCCTACCCCACATTCACATGTCCCACTATAATTTTACCCATTATTATCTAAAACATGCAAAACAAATTGCACAATCTCCACCATAACTTTTATTAGTTGACACTCATTCCCCACCGTAATATTACTTCTGTGCCCCTTCTCATGCTTTTATCTCGTCGTTAAATGACTCCTCATTAAGTATCAGCATCATCTCATCTTCTTACTCCTCCTGCACCCTAGAGATGGCTGGCACTGTCAGCCTCTACCTCCATGTATGGTGGAGCAATGCAATAGCCAGCACCACTGTCCTGCGACAACGCAGCTCCGTATCCCCTCGACCCCTCCGACATTGCTTTTTCGCACATGCATTAACACATGGGTGCAACAACTTATGCGTACATTGTGTTATGCCTTATGTATATGTCTTGAAAGGACCCGATGGATATCCAACAGGTATGGATATCCATCGGGTTTGGACAAGGACACAATTTTTCGCCCATGGGTTTTTTCATGGGCGGGCAAAGACTGTCTTCATGGATGTGGATATGGATTTGATATTGTTCAACCCGATCCAAACCCGACCCATTGCCATCCTTGTCCACACCCCACCTGCCCCTCCTCTTCCATCTTCGATCCAATCTCGCTGCGCGCGCGCCGCCACGAGCTTTCGTCCTACGCTGTTGGCCCTCCCCCCGCGCCCCCTGGTGGTCAAAGGTGGTTCGCCCAACGACCGGGGAAGACGACGAGGAGGACGAGAAGGGAAAAGGTGGACGGCATCGATCGTCGAGATTGTGCGACACGTCGACGTCGTTCCTGAAGCGGATGTTGTGTGATGGGATGGAGTCCTGGATGGGGTCGGCGGCGTAGCCAATCTCTAGGAGATGCCCGCATGTGGCCGAATTTCGTGTTTTGACCCTTTTTGGATAGTATTTCAGGATCTGACCCCTGTTTGAATTTTTTTCGAGATTTGACCCTTTTGCTACCGCTAGGGCCTCTGGCGGTAGGGTTAGATAGCCTACCGCCACGGCCCATGGCGGTAGGGGTGCGATGGAGGGGGACGGCGGCCGTTTGACTGCGCTGAACGTCGTTAAGCACCTACCGCCAGGAGCCCTGGCGGTAGGCTGTG